AAATCGAGGGTACCTCCGTGCTTTGTCTACCCCGACCTATGCAACCCGCATGTCCTTTCGTGTTCTGGGGCCACGTTGCCGTCGGAAGAGTCTTGTGTCCTCTCGGGTGTCCTGTCCAATCAAGTCCGACTGTATGTCGTGATTGTCCCGTGGGAGCTGCAAATCGGCGTGAGCATCCAGTTGCAACCGACGTACACATCGAATTGATGAGCATCGACCTGCACAATGACATTAATATTTGAACGAACATCAACCTGCACATAGGAACAGCAAGTCGAGCTGAGCATCCAGATGCAAGTCCAAGTGCAATGGAAATGCACATCGAAAGCAACAGTTGAATGTCTATCGAAAGCCAAACGGGCAGGCAAGTCGAAAGGAACATCATAATGCAAACATCGACAATTGAAACGGACGACGGGAATGCAGGCCGACTTGCCAGTCGAATTTCACATCGAAATGCCGATCGAAGTGCACATCGAGAGGCACATCTAATCACGGGGGATAGTTGGTGTTTACTGCACGGCCTCGGGCGTGTACTAAACGGCCCTGCCCTTTTCGATTCCTTCCTTCGGTGCGTTTACTACACGGCGTCGCTCGTCGGAGTGCTTATTACGAGGGTGGTTTTTCTGTCAGAGAACCGCGCAGCCCTAGCGCGCTGTTTCTGCCCGCTGAGAATTTGATCCTAGCCGGCATCTTCTTTCTCCGAAGGAGGACAGGTACCCATATAACTACGTACCTATCCTTAGTTCTCCCCATTTGAGGCCCCCAGGGAGGCCCTTGCCGCCACTGGTGAATTCGCCTCGAAGTCCCGGTCAGAACGCACCTGGGGAGAGGTCCAGGGAGTAGCGGTATTGGTACTTTGTGGTTTCTCCAAGCGTCTCCTGGGCCCAGCTGGCACTTGCGCCTTCTCTTGGCATGTGCTGCCTTTCGATGGTGCGCGCATGCATCTGGCCCTCGTGCCCCTTCAGTGCAGGGGGGTCTGTCACCTTGATCTGCGCGAGAATGGAGCATGTACAAGTGTTGAGTCCGAGGAGGGGCGAAAATGGGAGCACTTCTCTGCCAGTGCTCATTGTTCAAAATGCGTCTAGTGGCGCAAATGAACTGACATCCGCGTGCGTCCCCTTCATTTCATCCTCTGGACGTTTCGACCGACTACGAAACACTCAGGCATTCGAGCTCCAGGAAACCGCCCAGGAAGCGAATGCGGACCCCCCGCTAGAAGTCGAAATGAGGGGGTACCTGTACAATTTCGCACGCACGGGGGAGGGGGGGGCGCATCCGAGTGTTTTGGAAAATCATTTCCCAGTGTGGCGCCACGGGTCCCCGCGCGGCTCGCCAGATCAGCGTTGGCTTTCCTGGGCCATAACGGCCAGCTAGTTCTGAAATAAGACAGTGTTGGTGCACCAGCACCAGGCTCTCGTTGGTACTTGCTTCAAACCGCCAGAATGTTTTTCGCATCTTGATCTACGCGAGGGAAGAACATCCCAATGAGTGGCGTGGTGTGCCTCTGAAGGATTCGTCCATCCTAGCGACGCAGACGCGATCAATCAAATCAACCGTTGTAGTCGCGAAGCAGCACATGCACCGCGGTGGCCGGTTAACTCTGCAAACTTCCCCGCCCACCCCGGGCGGGGCCTGAATGCGTGTTTCACCTTTCGGATAGATGGGAGTGGGGGGGACGAAGTCAGGTGCCTCTTTGTGCCCTAAAGGAGCCTTCCAGGGGGCCCCTGGGGCCCGAGAGGGGCATGAGAAGTGCACATTCCCCCTCCCCCCAACGTGTATTGCACCCCCATGAAGCAACGCCCGACGGGCGAGGTCCCTTTGACCATGGGCCCCTGCTCTCAGATTTCCGACGATTTGATTGCACCGGCCTTGCGGCCAGTGCCGCCGACCCTAAAGGGGGATGACGGCGGCGGCGGCGACGATCACGACGACGGTGACGTGGGTCAGAGTCCTCAGGGATGCTTCTCGGGCCATCTTCGGAGCACTCTCCGGGGCCTCTGGGTGGCAGTTTGGGGGCCTCTTGGGAGCCACTTTGGGGCTTCTTCGGGCCTCTTGGGGGCCTCTTGGGGCCTCCTGGGAGCCTCTCGCGACCGAGGGCTCGAAATGTCCGTTCGGGTCCGTCGTCGGGGCACCCTCTTGGAACCGTCTTGGGGCCCTCTCGGGTCGTTTTGGGTCCCTCTTGGGATGTCTTCGAGACCTCTTGGGGCCCTCTCTGATCGTTTGGGGGCTCTCTTGGAGGCCTCATGGGGCGTGTTGGGGTGATCTTGGGGGCCTCTTGAGTCGTCTTTGAGCGTCGGGAAGCCGCAAATGCGAGAACCCCCAAATCTGTCAAACACTTCAGGACAATCAGTGAAGTTTGCCTCTGGGGAGTGCTCTTGGAGGCCGCTTGGGCCTCTTGGAGGAGTGTTAGGCCGTTTGGAGGCTGTCTTGGGCGTCTTGGAAAGGAAAGTTCGGCGATTCGGGGCCCTCTTGGACTGTCGTGGGGTCCTCTTGGGGCACTCTTGGCACGTCTTGGGGCCTTTTTCTGCTCTGGGACCCCCCGCGGGATGGCATTCTGAATCGGGACCCCCCGTCCACATCCTCCCCCACCCCATCCCTCAACACCCCCTCCGAGGACACACCCCTCCCCTCCCCGCCGGGGAAGGGATCAAAGCGAAGCAGTTCCCTTAGACTCAACAACGACGTTGCTCAATTTCGCTTTGGCTGGCGCGCTTGAGGAGGGCCCAGGGAAAGGGGGAGGAGCGGCGACGACGACGACGACGACGACGACGGCGACGACGAAGACGACGACGACGACGACGAGTCAAGCAAAATTACGTTTCTGTCGGGGGGGCTCTCCTCGATGTTGGCCCTCGGGAGCCGTTCTCGGGCCCTGGGGCATCGCCCCCGCGACTCGTGCCTGAACTTCCCAACCCCCCCCGGCCAGATTTCTTTTCCTTCCATGGGGGGCCCGCTTTCGCGGCGACCCGTTAAACCCAGGACCCCTGGCGGCGCATGGATTTTTTTTTTTTTTTGTTTTCCCCCCCGCGGGCGTATTGCCACTGGAACCCCTGAACCCTTCCGTCTAAGTATGTGATTATAATTTGTACCATCATGTGCTAGCGCGCAGCTGCTCTTAGAGCGCACCTGGTCCTGCAGCACAGCTAGTCTTATCAAAGTACGTGTGATGCGTTTGAGGAAACAGTATAGACTCGGGAGTTGGGAAGAAGGAAGCACTCTAGGATTGCAACTTGGGAGTACGGAAGCATAATCGAATCGTGATTATGGAATGAGGAGACGGTATACAATGTCGATTTCTGAAGTAGGACATGCAGTAGCGTGCAAGTGATATTAGTGCAACTCCCTAGTATAATTATTGCATTCTGGACTCTCGCACTTGTCCTCTGGTTGCGCTGGGGGGGTCTCGCCGGCACCCCCGCGGCTGCGAGTTTATTTAATCGCTTCGCTCATGCCGCCGGCCCTGGAGCCCTCTTTAGGGCCTCTTGGGGGCCTCTTGGGGACCTCTTGGGAGTCTCTTGGGGCTCCTTGGCGGCGTTTTGGAGGCCCCCAGGGCCTCTTGGGGGGCTCTTGGGGGTAGTCGATTGCGGCTCCCCCCTCGGAGGCCACGATCCTCGTGAGGGGTGTCGAAAAATACCCTCCCCTGGAGTGGTCTGGTGGCTTCTCCCGGGCTTCTCTCGGGACCTTGCCGGGGTACTTTTCGTCCGGGGGCCCCCAGGGGCCGCTCCGCGCGCGCGAACTAGAAATATTGTTAACAAGTTACCGGAGATCTTAGCACGCCTCTGGCCCGTTGGGCCGGCGAATTCCTCTTCCGGAATTTCGGGCAGGGGTCATCCCCGTGCCCGAACCTTTCGCAAAGGATTTTTCTTGTTCTTCCGAAGAAGCCGGGCCCCTTGGGGTTCCTCGGCGCGCCCTGGGAATGCTTTCCTTCTGGATGGTCCCCCATGGGTCCTATGTTGGAGTCGCCCGGGTGGTTTTGGATGCATCAAGCGTGGATCCAGGACACAAGACTCCCTTTTCCCCATCCGAGGCTGTGAGTCCGCCGCCGTTTAAGAGCCCAGCCCGCTCCTGGCCCAGGCCGCCAGTCTTTGGAGGAAGATACATCGGTATTAACATAGACGTTCGGGACTCCGCCTGGACCGCCACCAGTGTATGTTTATGCCGTAGTTTCCTCCTCTACAGCCAATACGCCAAAATACGAACCGCTTGGGGTTCGGAAGAGGCTCGCTGTTCCTGAGGTCATTCTGCAGTTGCTCCTGTGGCCCTCCTCGTGCACCCAGGCTCTTCTGGTGCCAAAGGGGCTTCGTTCCTGATCAAGCGCTCCTTATCTCAGCAGCCCGACTCTACTCTTGCCTCGCCGCTCTCCTCCGCGCGGCCGCCGATGTCTCCCGCTCCCGCTGGTGCACCCCGGGACGCGTCCAGTGCCCCCGAGACGGCGCGGATCGTCCGGCACCTGAGCGGCGAGGAGCCGGCGGTGCGAGCAAGATGTATATCCATATCCACTGCGTCTTGGAGTTCCCCTCGCACATTGATCTGTATCCCTTCTCCTCATCCCTTCCTTATTTTCCTCCTCCCCTCCTCCTCCTCCTCCTCCTCCTCCTGCTCTTCCGTCGCCTCCTCGCCTTGGCGGCTCCCCGTCCCCAGACACCCGAGGCGCACTGGATATGGATCAGAATTTGGCCCCAAGAGGCCAGAGCTTTACGCATATCCACTGCGTCTCGCCCTCTTTGGCGCCCCCAGTCAGTCCAAGACGCAGTTGATATGGATGTCAATCTTTCGGCACATACAAAGGGTGTGATCACGCCAGGGTGTGGTTTGCGATCGGCCCCTTCCTTTGGGGCCTGGGGACTGCGACATTGTCCTCGTCGGGCCTCGGGGCGCGGCGGAGAACTCTGTCGAAGTCCCCGCCCGCCACCCAGGGTGCCCAGGGGTACCGGTTGCAAACCACACCCTGTGCAAACCATACCCTTCGCAGGCGGTGGCGCAGCCCTGGGCGCCGAATGCGTCGGTGGCCAAAGATGCCCGCGCTCCGGCCAGCCGCCCGGCGCAGGTGCGGTACGACTTGGGCGGCGAGGGGCCAGCGGAGGCGGAGCCCTGGGCTCCAGAGCCTGAGGATCATAGGGGGAGCAAACTTTGTAAAGCTGCGCGGACTTTAGGTACGACCCTGTAGTGTTCTTCTAGGCCTCCTAGATGGGGTCCGAGTAGATGGGGTCGGAGGATCGCGCCGCATCGCCGATGCATCGGCGATGCATCGGCGATGCGGCTCGATGCAGAGCCCGATTTTTGTCCACGCTGGCGTCGCCAGTGCATCGCCGACGACGCCGATGCATCGCCGATGCATCGGCGATGTATCGCCGATGTATCGGTGCCTCGAGCGTCGTCCCTAGCGCGCCCCGCTCGCCAGGGGGGGGGCCCAGCGCCGATCCAAAAAATCCGTGCGGAGGTTCGAAAAGGTAGAAGTCTGCAGTTTTGCTTCTTTCTCTAGAGGAGGAGCAGGAGCTGGCGGAGGAGTTGGGGCCCGAGGCGCCAGAGGGGTCGGGCTCCCGGTACCGGGTGGTGCGGCAGATCGGCAGCGGCGCCTACGGCACCGTGTTCGAGGCTCAGGACACATTGGAAGACAGGCTGGTGGCCATCAAGCGCGTGAAGCTGGAGAACGACCCCGTCCACCTGAGGCGCACGCTGCGGGAAGTGGCGCTGCTGAGCAGGCTGCGGGGCGCCGCCAGCATCGTGTCCGTCCTGGACATAATGGTCCCCGTCCGCGACGGGCGGTTCACAGAGGTCCACGTGGTCCTGGAGCGGTGCCGCACAGATCTGCGGAAGATTTGCAGCACCGTGGCGGGCCTGACGATGTCCCAGGTGCGGCGCATCCTCTACACCACTACGCGAGGCGTCGCCTACCTCCACTCCGCGGGCGTCTGGCACCGGGACCTCAAGCCGGCGAATTGCTTGATGTACCCGGATTGCGAGGTGAGCGACGGGAGAACACGGGGTCGACCGCGCGGACATTCGCGCGCAAGTTGCTCGCGCAATTCAGGTCGCGCGGAGGCACCCTCTTGTCACGCGGTGTGCCACGCTGGCGGCCCGCGGAAGTCATCGCGTAAGGTCGCCATGTCATCTATCTAAGGAATAACATCTGCATGCTCATAAACTTTCTGAGGTTCGCGTGGACCTCCGACACCTTACGTTTACTTAGCCATTTGTTCTTCCAATCGTGCGTCAGGCCTGTTTCTTCTCGTCGCTCAGGTAGGTAAGCGACGGACTGTGCCGACCTTCGCGCGTAAGCTGCCCGCGTCAGGTCGTGGGTGAGCGCCGTCATTTCCAATGCAGAGTGCCACGCTGGCAGCCCGCGCAAGCCACCGAGGAAGGTCGCTGTGTCTTCGCGCGTACAGTCAAAATCCATCATAAGGACTGACGACTTTCCTTTTGGTACCCTTTGCATCCTTACTTCTGTGGCCCGCCCTTCGCCGCTTTCGCAGGCGAGCCCCTCAGGGTACCCTTGGGGCGGCGGCGTCATTCGGCACTTCCACTCGGCGGCAAAGGCCCTCTCGTGTCCTTCACGCCCGTCCGTGTCATATAGGCTTTGACACCCGACCAACCCCCAATCGCCGACTGATCGCCGATAGGGGCCCGATAACTCCACCCCGCCCAGGAACGTCCGGATTCGCTGTCATTCGCTTATCGCCGATCCATCCGCGATGTATCGTCGTTGCAGGCTCGATGCTCTCCCCCCTGAGCTGGTCCCCCCCTTATCGTTGCCCCTCATAGCGGCCCGGGTAAGCCACCGCATGAGGTCGCTATGCCATCGCGCGTACCCAAACATCCGATGTTTAGAGTTTCCCCATACGCGGTGCCCAGATGTCTGGATCCTTTCCCCAGGGCGGTTCCTCATCCTGAGTAGTTGATTGACGGCCCTAGGGCCCGGCGAGGGCCCTGTGAGGCCGAAAATTGAGGAACACCTCCGCTTGAGTTTCTCGAGGGAGGTCTGGACCCTTTCCCCAGGGCTGGCTGGCTCTTCACTTTGAGTCGTTTTTTGACGGCCTCTGGGGGCCCACCGAGGGCCCCCAGAGGGCGCAAGGTGCGACAAGCTTGCGCATCGAGTTTCTCGAAGACGTCGGAGGTCTGCGACTGTCGCGATCTATCGGCGACGTATTGTGAGATTTGAGTCTCGAGGCGAATAGTTTGGATATGATGTCCTATCCGTATGCGAGACTCCCTGAACTTAAGTGTTTCATGAGAGGTGTTCGTCCATGGGGAGGGATCGTACCATTCTGGCTCAAGACCCAAACCACATATTCTCTCCCCATACCTGTAAGTACCTATCCCATACCATCCACTCTCTCTTCCCTTTCCGTTCCCTTTCAGAGTGGCTCGGTTAGCGAACCAGTGCATATGGACTCAGTGTCTGCGGTGCTGGCGGGTGAAGGGGGTTCTGGACATCCTCATCCTCATCGCTGTCGTCGGCCAGGCGACAGTGGTAGCGGAGCGTGAGCTCCAATTCAGCGGACCATGACGGCAGCAGCGGCGAGGACGGATGATAATCTGGATTCACCCCCAGCAACTCGGGAGCAGGCGATGGGTGCATTGGCAGCGGTGACTTACACTCTGGTGGGACAGGGTCTTGATATCGAGGCAGCACAGCATTGTCTCAAGAATTTTGTAAGAGCGAGGATGATTTCCAGAGAGGTTCGACGTCGAACGACGGAGCGCCAGACACCGAGCAGCGGGAGCAGCACCAGGATCCGCGGCATCTGAAAGAACACGACCCGTGGCGCAACGGCTGGAGCGAGCAGCCGATGGGCAGCCCACCAGCCGGTGCAAGGTACGGGGCCATAGGCCCGACGGGGACGCACCATGGCTCCTGGTTCCGAGGCCTGGCAGTGGCAGAACTGGCACCAGGAGGGCACTTGGAACTGGAAGGAGGTCGAGGACTGCTGGGACAAGACAGCAGATGCATGGTGTCAATGGGGGTCGACCCCACCAACAGGGGCGCCCTGGCCCTCGACGGCACTAGGTTGGAGTCATGGCGGCTGGAACGCTTGGTATGACGAGTCCAATCACGATAAGCGCAATTTCTGGAATGAACAGCCGAGAGGAAAGGACTACGCCGATCCGGAGAAGTGGGACAACTGGGCGAGCTACCGCACGTGGCGCAGAAAGATTGAGAGATGGCGCCGCACGACGGACATAGCAGTGTGGAAGCAAGGAGATCGACTGTTCAAGGCGCTGGACGCCGACCTCCAGAGAAAGCTGGGGGACATTTCCGACGACATCTTGTGCAGCCACAAGGGCGTCGACGCCATCAGAGGACGCCTTGACCTGATGTCCGGGGAACGTGCTGGCGACGAACGAGGCAAGGGCGCAAGGGAGTGCCTGCTCGACTTCGCGCGCAGGCACAACGAGAACCTCGCGGAGTACTGCGCCCGGATCGACACAGCCTTCGATAGCGTCGCGGTCCAGGGCTTGGCGATGCCAGACGATTGGAAGCTCATTTTCCTCGAGAAGGGCGTCGGCCTGGACCAGCAGTCGGCGCAGCTGGCGAAGATCTCCACGAGGGGGGAGAGGACCTACCAGGCGGCCTTTGCCGCTATTCGCGAGGTGGACATCAGCCACCGTGAGCATCTACAACGACCGAACGGGAGACAGGCCCAGATCGCGCACGACTCCGGCGGCACGGCCTCGACGCAGACGCAGCGGGACGCCCCTCTACCTCCAGTCCTTCCGACGCCCTGGCAGGTGGAGGGCGATGCCGACGATGACTCCATCATCGACTACTCGGACGTCTCCTCCATGAACTCGGAAGGCGAGATGGCGGAGTTCGCAGCGCTGGAGGCGGCCGACGTCGGAGAAGATGACGCCCCGGAGGCCCTGGCAGCGATCGGCCAGGAACGTCGCAAGACGCGGAGGGGGAACAAGGATCTCAAGAGGCGCCCCAAGGTCGACGAAGTTCTTCGATCGCACTGGAGCCCGCGGCGGCGACGGGCGCGAGAAGCGTCGCAGTCCTGGCCATGGAGCGGCGGGCGGCACCTCCCGACCGCGCAAGAGAAGGCTGTCACTTGCTGAGCTGATCAAGCGGGCGAGATGCCGCCTGTGCCACCAGTAGGGACGCGGGTCGAATGAGTGCCGAATAAGTCGAGCATTTGCGGCGGCAGTAGGCCGCCCCGGATGCTTGAGCAGGGCCCCTCGCATTCCACAGGCCTCAGTGACATGCGCGCGAACGCGCCGGATGGTTTCTCAGCCTGCGCGACGGGGGCCCGCCCTTCCTCCCCCACCTTGCTATGCCGCAGTTATTTTGTCCGTGGGTCCTGGGTCTACGATCGTGGGCGCCGCGACTGGGCAGGCCCTTGGGGGGGAACCAGCCATGGGCAAGATCGAGGGGCGCTGGACATCCATGGGGCTCGCCATTCCCAGGGTGCCTCCTCGAAATCCTCGGGCCCACGGAGTAGGTGGAGGCGCGCGTGCAGGTTGCGCGCGCGGCTCTGATTCCTCTGGGCATTGAGGGCTCGCGGGGGCCATCGAGATGGGCGTTCTCGAGAAAGACGCCCCCCCCCTCCTGCCCATTGGGCCCCAGGAAATGCCCGGGGGCATCTTGGATCTCCCGGGGGGCGTGATGAGATTTACCAAGCTGGGGGTCGACGCAGAGCTGTCACGTCTTCCTTCGGCTCACCGCGCGATTCAGGCAGACAAGTTCGGCAGGGCAGCCGTCTTTGCGCCGCCCGAGCCCGTCTTCCGAGCATGCCCGCAGCTCTCGGAAGATGCGTTTCAAGCGAGGGTAAGTACAGGACCTCCCCCCCCTCCACCTTCCCTCGGGGCTCCGATAGCTTCCAAGGGTCCCGTGCACAGGGGTCCACTGGGCGCCAGGCCGGGTCGCGGCGGGAGGTCTCCGGGGGCTGCCGGGGGAGCTTGAAGGGCCCCAATGTGGTCTGGAAGTCCTTGCGGGGCCTCTGCGGTACTTCTGAAGGGCCTTACCGGGGACTCAGAACTGCCCTGGGAGACGCGTCGGACTTAGGTGAGATCGACCAGGGGATTCAGCCAAGGGAAGACAACAAAGGGAGGTCGGGGTTCTACGACCAGTTCGGGCACATCATCAGCATGGGGTGTGTCACTTGGGCCCTCTCGAGGTCCTGCAGCACTTCGGCTCAAGTTCTTCTCGAGCTTGAACCAGTTCGACGATGGCGGCGCTCCGAGAGGCACCCCCTTCACAGCAGCAGCATGCCACCTCGTCGAGCCGAGGGGGAGAGACCTTGTACGATGGCGGACCGGATGACCAGCCAGCCCGACCAGGCACGGGCGCACGGGCTCACTGGGGGATCTGTCCCGGAGGGTTTGAGCAAGGGCCTGCGGGGCCGGGGGGCTCCGACGCCCTGCGTTCTGCTGTGGGCCACGCGTCTTTCGGAGGAGCTCGGGAACCTGATGCGGGCGCGCCGCTTCTGGCCAACCAGCTTGCCGAGGAAGCTGCGTCGTCTCCCAGAGGGGTACTTGGGGCACTGGCACCCTCCGACGCTGGTCAGCTACGGAGCGAACTCGCGCGGTCGGTGCCCCACGTGCGCTCGGCGCGCAACGAGGGTGCGCCACCAGGATCTGAAGCCCACCGAGGGGGCCGCGAAGGAGGAGAAGATGTGCCCACGCAAGAAGAAGGACGCGGCGTGCCTTTGCGCGGCCAGGGCGGGTCTCAGCATGGAGGGGGCGGGCCGCGCGGCAGGCGCTCATCCCAGCGCCCGAGCCTTCGCCGGGAACCGAGAGGAACCCGATGCTGATCCACGCAGGCATGCTGTGAGGCATGGGGCTCACCGGCGCCGAGCACAGCAACGGCCGGTGTTGGGGCCACCAGAGGGCGGCGAACTCAGCGGCTGCAGCTTTGGCAAACCTTTCGAGAGACGAGGCCTTCAGGTGGAAGTTCAGGGCGGCTCAGAGGCGGGCCGAATCAGCGAAGCGCAAGGCCGAGAGGGCCGACGACTAGATGGGGGCGG